CATGGAAAATGGAAATCAAATTCTAACTTCTACTTTTAGTCATGTTTGATATGGACAATTTTTTAGGCAAATGTTTTTCCTCTCTCTATCTCACGCGCCTCATTTTCTTGATTTTTATTGAATTCATTTTCCCACCATTTGGTGGAAAAATGGAATTCCAACCTTTTTTTTTTTGGCAATTTTAATAAATTTTATAATCAATTGTAAAAAAAATTCATTTTAATAGATAATTTCAATGTAAAATAAAGTCAAACGAATACTAAACTTTGATGAAAAAATGATTTTCTTGGAATTTTTTTTTTACTTTTTGGCAATATAAACAAATTGTATAACCAATTGTGGAAAAAAAAATTATCACATTAATGGACAATTTTCATATAAAACAAAGTCAAACGAATACAAAAAAATCCAAAATTTTAAAAATTTTCGGGTGGAAAATTATACTAATCAAACACATTTAATTAACAATTCCATGGAAAACAAGTTCTAGACAATTATTTTCTCTGAAATTCATTTTCTTTTCACTCATTTTCCATCATTGCAATCAAACGGAAAAGACAAGGACTGTCTAGCTACATAGACCATAAATTGAGAGCCTCCTTTGCAATCTTCCCAAAGCTGCAAAAGAGTGTACATTCTTAAAGAGCAAAAAAAAACGATCTTTCCATATGATTTTCAGCAATGGGCAGCGAAAGGAAATCAAGGGAGGCTGAGAAGAAGAAGCTCAAGAGAAATTCTCCCTCTTCTCCGCGAGGTTCCTTTTTTTCAACAATTCTACTTGCGTATGCTGATTACTGTATACACGTAGGTATGTAATTTTGTGTAATTTTTGGCAGACGATGCGAAGAGCAAAAGGGTAAAAATTGGAGACGCTGACAAGAAAGAGAAATACAGTAAGAAGCACAAATCCGATAAATCTTCCAAACACCGTTCTGATAAAGGTATTTGTTATTTAACACCTTACTATTGGGATTTTTTTTTTTTTGCTAATTTTAACTCGAAGAAATCTTCGTCTCTCAGACGTCAGTTAGATATGTTTTTTATTATTGTTGTAGATGGAAATAATTGATGGTTAGTAAACATATTTTGCAATGCTCACGGATTACTTGTTGATCTGTGCAAAAAATCTGGGGTTGGTTGGCATTGGTTGACACTTTCGTTCATCATTTATCCCGAATAGGAAGACTTTGGTTATTAGGGTTTTGGAAATAAATAATAACCTTGGTTGGAAGATATAAGTCCGTGATCTGAACTCTAAAAAATTATGAAAAATGACCATGTAAAGGAGGGTTATTTTTCTTGAAGATGGTTGAGTAGCAGACCCCAGCTATCAGCCGTAGCATGATTGGTGGCATAAGATTCAACAAACACAGCGCAACTTAAACTGCATTACCTTAAGAATTGAAGATAAAATTTGTCTTAACTAGGATTTCTCATGTTGCTTGGGCCATTAGACGAAACACAACTCACTGTTTTACACACATCACCGACTTGAGAACTCCTAGGCCGAGCTCATTGGTGTATGATGATAAAGAAGAGGTGGTTCCCTTTTTACTTATTTTGACAATGGAAGAGCCCCCAAAGGCTCTTGTGAAAAAAAATCTGTTTGAATGAATCGTTGTGTAGTTGTCTGGTTGTCCCTAAATGGGAGTTGTAATAAGCAGAAAGGAAAAATTATAACAGCACATTTGATGAACATTTTTTCTTTAATATTAGGCTTTCTGTCTTTCTACCACGAAATTGCATGTTGATATCTCCTTTAGTATGTCATATACAGGTGTTTTCACTCAATTTATATAAGATCACTTTGCTTAAACTTCATAGAACTTAATAATGTAGATATCTTTTGTTATTGCCCATTCATTTCAAACCCTCACTCAATTGATTTTCCTTTGTAATTATGATTATGATGTTTCAAGAACTGTTGATAACAATGTTCAATTGATATTTCTTTAGAAAGGAAGTCTGGAGAAAAGCGCAAAGATAAAGATCGTAAGCATCGCGATCGTTCAGTAAGTTACATCATTGTTTTCCCCCCATGTAATTGCTGAAATCATGTCATGACACTTGTCCATTATTTCTTGAAAATTTTCCCTCTTTTTACTGTCTCATTTATTATTCATGTCTGGACATCTTATCTTACTGAAGCTACTATTGAATAGGCTAAATCAAATATGGTGTCAATTGCATCTCTTGACCTCTCTGACTTCTTGTAACAGATATTGCAGGAATCATGGAGATGCATATGTTAATTAAATCTAAACCATTTGTGTGGGGGGG